TGTGTGTGTGTGTGCATATATATATATATATATATATATTCATTCAGTAGAGACAGGGTCTTATCATTTTGGCCAGCCTAGTCTTGAACTCTTGACCTCAAGTGATCCTCCCGCCTCAGCCTCCCAAAGTGCTGTGACTGCAGACATGAGCCGCCATGCCTGGCTGCATTCACTTTTTTTAAACAAATATTTTTTTTAATATTGACAGAATTTCAAACTCAAGTTGCCAGAATAGTATCAAGAATCCCTGTGTATCCTGCACTCAGATTCACAAATGTCAATATTTTACTAATTTTTTTGTATTTGTCTCTTTCTTCTCTCCTTCATTTCCATATACATACAAATGAATAAAATACATGTATATATACGTGCATGTATACATATATATGTATACGTATATATGTATTTTATTCATTTGTATGTATATAGAAATGAAGGAGGAAAGAGACAAATACAAAAAAATTAGTAAAATATTAACATTTTAACATTTGTTAATATTAACATTTTAACATATTAACATTTGTGGAAAAAAAAAAATATATATATATATATATATAATTTTTTTTTAAACCACAGTGAATAAGATGACGGATACTTCCATGTATATATCCCCCAAACAAGAAATTCTCGTATATAACCATAGCACAATTAACAGGGGAAATTAACATTAATACTCTTACTATGCTCAACACCTGATTTGTATTTCATTTGTTTTCTGAATAATGTTCTTGAGAGCAAATTAAAGTCCAAGTACCCTCATTGCATGCTCTTGTCCTGTGCCTCTGGTCTGCTTTCTTCTGGAACCATTCCTGAGACTGTATTTCATGACATTGACAGGTTTAAAAAGTGCAGATGAGTTATTTTGGAGAATACGCCTTTCTCTGAGCTTGTCTAATGTTTCCTTATGAGGAGATTCAGGCTGTGGACTTTTGGCACAAATGTCACAGAAGTGATGCTAGGTTCTCTTCATGGTGTCCTGTCAGGAAGGTATATTCTGTGGATCCATCCCATTCCTGGGAATTTTAACTTGGAAATTCATGTTAGGTGATGTCTGCTGGGAAAGTACTATTTTACCCTTGGTAATTAGTTAAGTACCTTGTGGGAAGATACTTTGAGAATGTGTAAATGGTTCTTTATTACTGTTTAAACTTTCACCCAATAGATTAACATCCATTTGATTCTCAACTGAACCAAGTATTCATGTAGTTGATTGGTAATTGATGGTTTTCTACATTTATTAGTTGGTTTTCTCTTGTGTGGAAGAGTTTTCCCTTCTTATTGATTGATTTCTATGTGAATTTTTATTTTGTGGATTCTTATAGTATTAATGAGTTATAATTCTTTACTGTCACAATTTAATGTAATGCTCAAAAGGTTCCAGATTTGATTAGTGAGAATCTCTTTAAGCTGGCTTCTGTGTCCTTTTCAACAAGTATTTTTGAGTGCTTACAGGATATATCAGGCACTGGGAATGCAATTAAGAGCTAATCAGAAAAAAAGAAAAAATCCCTGCAATCCTAGCTACACAAGAGGCTGAGGCAGGAGAATCACTTGAACCCAGGATATGGAGGCTGCAGTGAGCAAAGATGGTGCCACTGCACTTCAGCCAGGGCAAAAAGAGTGAAACGCTACTTCAAAAAAAAAAAAAAAAAAAAAAAAAAAAAAAAGCACCCTGGCTTCAAGGAAATTATGCAGAGAAAAAATAATAAATAGGCAAATGGTGTGGCACACTAGAGGGCATTAAGTGTTGAGGAGAAAAAGCAAAACCAATATCTGCTTTTAGTCTTGGGAACATTTCGATTACCAAGTCCTGGTCAGAGAAAGCCTCATTAGTAAATGTCAGTTAAGCAAGGACCTGACACGCACAAGGTGGGTAAATCATGTGGATGTCTAGGGAAAAACTCTTCCAAGCAGCACCCAGCACCCCAGAGGAGGAGGAACTATAGCAGTTCCATGAGGTGAGAACACACTGGCATTTTTAGTAGGATGACTGAGGTGGCTGCATGGAGGACAGACTGTGAAAGGTAAGAATAAAAGCAAGGAGACCAGCATCATTTCCAAGGAGTCTGAAATGCCCATCATGCACATTCCTAAGGCATTGAGAATTTTAGTCAGAGTGTACATTGACGCAATGACAATATATGACAATTGCATGAATTAGTCATCTCAGAAAGAGGAGTTCCTACAGAAATAAGACCCATCTCTTAAATTATTAAACTTTTTGTATTGATACACAGCATTTAAACTACAAATATATATGCATGTATGTATATGTGAATATGTATGTACAGATAGAGAACAATGAAAAACATTATGTAGCAAAAGCTCTATGCAAAAAGGTTTTTCAGTCTACAGACCATACTAGGGTGTGTGATACATCAAGGTGATTGGTATTTTTATCTTAAAATTACCGCTGTTATTAGTTCACAGTTATTGGCTCACAGCAATTTTAGAAAAATGTGTTCCTTTTTTTCCCAGCAAGGACATGTATACTGCTTTGTTGTGGATTATGAAATATGGGAAAGCTTAAATGCCATCTATGCTTTCTTTAAGAAGGAGGTTCATTTTTGTCCACATCCAGTTAAAGGTTTCTCTCCCCAGCCCTCTGTCCTCAAATGTCCTGAATCTGTATCCATGATTACACTTGGACTATATTGCACCTTCTTCCCTGATCTTTCCTTGGAATGTCATAAGATCCAGCAATTTGGCCAGAAATTTCCTAATGGTAACAGAAAAGAAAAGTACAATCTGGTCACAGAGAGTGAGAAATTTTGGGTTATTTTCCTGCCATCACCTTGATTGACTCCTCTGTGACCTTATGCTGTTAACACCTGCCTCCACAGGTGTGTGAAGAGCTTTAATTAATATTTGTAAATCTCCCTTTTTGTCACAGATAGGAGGTAGCAGAAAAGGATGTGTTGTTATTAATCATGGGGAGAAAAACATGGAGAGATTTTTGTGAAGTTCTGGTGAACTTCCTTCACCAGAGACCTACACCCTACACCCATGGACACTATTTTCACAGGAGGAGAATTAAATATAAATCTTGATTTACTTACTTTGCACTTAAGGAAATGCCCAATGCCTATTTAGTGTAAAGCTCCTATTCGATACCCTGGCTCATATTCAATATGTGCTACCTCTGACTCTTAAGCCTGTTTAAGTTACCACTGTGAAAGGAGTCTTGCTATTCACAACGAGTGTGAGAGTTCATCTAATTAGCTGATTTCAGTTCATTTGGCCTTAAATAATTCCCCAAATTCCCATATGTTTGAACAATATGTTCAACAAGGGGGATGATTCTCTGAAAGCAATTAAATAGTTCTTTTAGGAGAGCTTGTCATCGGTCACTCACAAGCTTCCCTACTATTCCTGTCCATGATGAATGCAGGCGGTAATTACATGGAAAGTGCTTCACCCTCGCTGATGGCCGCTGGCAGGCACCCACATACAGGCTGCACATTGGAATTTTATATTTTTTTCAAACCTCAAGTATATTATTCTAGGCTTTCCATAGAGTGTTTGCTGTTGCTAATATACTGCTTTCCAATCCCTCCTCTCCTCGCGTGCCCTACTTAAAGGTAAATTAAGACATAATCATCTTAACCATGTTTTGTCCATATAGGGAGTATTATGCATTTTGGACTGTGGTTACCTTCGTGGAGGACTGAATTTTTTAAAGATATCTCCAGGGCTTCTTGGAGAGGAGAGGAGACAGTGTGGTAACATTACATCTACTGTTTTAGACACAGTAGACATAAGATGCTTCTCAATTATATGGCTTAGCTTTATTGCAGCAGCAAATGATAATGAGCTCAAGTATAACCATTACTAACTTGAGAGAATAGGAGATGTCAACATAAGCAATTCACCAATGAATAGCACATTAGATGAACTCAGAGAAAAACTCTTTGTTTATATAAGATCATGGGGAAGGTGGCATATTTTAGCACTAAATTTTATCTTTATTTTGCCCAAGGGGTTGCTTTTTTGGTCAAGGATGACAAATGTAAATGTCCTTCCTAGGTAGTATAAGTAAAAGCTTTGGTAATAATACCAATGCCAGCTCTCCCACTATCATTGCTCTATATTCAATATTATTATCTTTCTTACAAGTGAAAATACAGCCAACAAAAAAGAATCAAATAGCTTGCTGAAGAGCACATATGCCATTAGGGGAAAAATAAGCAGACTTCTGGGTTCTTCTCACTGATGACTGTTCCGTAAACTATTCCTCCTTACTGTTTGAGGCACAGATTAAAAACAAAAGCCAAAAAAATGAAAGAGGGAGGCATTCAGTTAGGTATTATTATTCCATTTTAGTTAACCGTCACTTTTTTTTATCTGTTCCATGACTCTGCATTCTCTCTGTAAATAATTCACAATTCAGAAAATCTGAACACCAGGTTTGGATGCAATAATTTTAAATTTAGATCTAAAATAGAAAATAGTTGGAAGTTATATATTTATGTATTATATTATCCACATTTGTAGCTGTCTACTATGCTATCGCTTTATAAGCTATGTATTTGTGCATTGGCAAAAAGTTTTCAAAGCAAGAATAGACACTCGTTCTTTATATTCAAAATACTGTTTGGCTTCATAATAATTTGCTTTATAATTTACCAACATTAAACATATTTTAGATAGTTTTTGTTTGCTCATTGGTAATGGCATCAACAAGAATAAAGATTTGGTAGCTGGTACGTGATCCACCAACCAGGTCTTTGCATTCTCCAATTCTGCCCCATATTTCTAAAGAAGCATTTGTCATTTTGTTAATTGGTTTGTCAAAACCTAGATTTGAAATCTAGATGTAAACTCCCTCCCTGTGTCTAAGAAGTTCAGGACAAATGCCTGTTCTCCAGACCAGTCCTTTGTAAAAGAAAATTCTGGAAAGGAATACTTACAAGCCTGAAGAAAACCCCAGTTCATTAACCAAGGTAATACGCCCCCTCCTCTACCTACTTCTCTCTTTTATCCTTTTCTCTGCTGTGAAGCCTTCAGTCAGATGGCTCTGAGGTGCTCCTGAGTCCTGAAGTCACCTGTGGTCCTCCAGACATGATCGTCACCACTCCCTTTGCATTGACTATCCCACACTGTGCAGATGTCAGTTCTGAGCACTGGAATATCCATTTAAAGAAGAGGACACAGCAAGGCAAATGGGAGGTGAGACCCTTTACTTTCTTTTTTAAACAATGGGATTTCGTTTCCACCTATGGAATAGATTTAACTTTAACATTAGAACACCACAAATCAGTATTTCTTTGTTTGGCAAATGGTTGGTGGCAAGTGTTTTATAATATCTTAAACGTATTGTTTAGTTTAGTTTTGTTTTGTTTTCCGTGATAACAGAAAAGAGAAGCAAGAGGTAATCCAAAGCTTTCTTGTTTGGTGTTAGAATATACTTGTAATTACCCACATAATCATCTCCGCTTACATACCTGCTCATTAACCCCCTTCACTTCCTCCTTCGCCTTGTCCCTGTCTGAATGGACATTATTCTGTGGCCTCTGTGGAGTTAAGGAGGAGGTTCAGGGCAGGCAGTCTGTGTTCAGAAAGGAAATAACTATTATCTATTTATTTTCCATCCTGGGGATGAGAAGGCATCTATGTTTAATCAGGAACACATTTAGTACTTAATATTTTTTTTTAGTTAACAAATGCATTAAAAATGATCATCAGTGTCTGTTTCCTCGTGTGTATGAAAGCATACAGAAGGGATAAGTATGAGACACGGAAAGAGAATGAGGACACGTAATAGGACATGAACAAGGGAGACAGTCACAGCAAAGACAGACTGTAGTTGAATTACTATTTTAAGTGAACGCTCTGATTTATCTGCCTGATAGTGCTTCCTTACGTCCATCTGAAGTCAGTTTGTATGAAAGCAGAATTATCTCGTTGGAACACAGTGACCTGTTCCAGACAGTTCTGGGGTCCTGCTTCCCAGGAGGTACTTCAGGCCAAATAAGTAAAAGGAAAATCCTGAGTGTTTTTTGTTTGTTTGTTTGTTTGTTTTTTGAGACGGAGTTTTGCTCTTGTTACCCAGGCTGGAGTGCAGTGGCTCGATCTCGACTCACCGCAACCTCCGCCTCCTGGGTTCAAGCAATTCTCCTGCCTCAGCCTCCTGAGTAGCTGGGATTACAGGCATGCGCCACCATGCCCAGCTACTTTTTTTGTATTTTTAGTAGAGACGAGGTTTCACCATGTTGACCAGAATCTCTTGACCTCGTGATCCACCTGCCTCGGCCTCCCAAAGTGCTGGGATTACAGGCGTGAGCCACTACACCCGGCCGAAAATCATGTTTATTTAGGAGAAGAAAATTCCCAGTTGCTGCAATGGATTATCTTTACCTTGCCAACTGGTATCTTCAAACTATTTTCTTTGTTCTGGAATGCATTCTGCTATTGAGTGAGTCCTAGTGCAACCACAAGTGGATTTCCTGGGACATGAAATTCTATCGGTTCATTTAAGGGCCATGTTTCAGTCCCCTTCCCATTATGTTTGGCGTTGCTTTGATTTTTGCCACTTTAGTTTTTCTTCTCAGCACTTCCTCACAATCTCTTATACACAGATGGTATAATAGTTATCCTCTATCAAACTAGTCACACATATTAAAGTTCTTATCAGGGAGGGTGAAATATTCTAGTAGATCTTATCTGGTTCACATATCTAGTGGTCACTTATAAATGATTTCAGTGGGATGAAAGGGGATAAAATATTTGAGGGAAAATAAACATTACCTTAAGGATTTTTAAAGAGTTGTAAGAAATAGATGTTTGTTAAAAAAAAAAAAAAAAGTTTGATCATCGATAAGGTTTAAGATTTTTAAAACTCAACATTGAATAAGCCAGAAATAGAACTTCTAAAGTGATTTTTGTTATTACGACCAATGAAGTAGAAATTCCAACACAATGAACATAACCATTTCTTGAGGTTTTTTTTTTTTTTTTTTTTTTTTTTTTTTTTTTTTTTTTTTTTTAAAACAGAGTTTCCCTCTATCACCCAGGCTGTAGTGCAGTGGTGCAATCTCAGCTCACTGCAGCCTCTGCCTTCCAGGTTCAAGCAATTCTCCTGCCTCAGTCCCTCACATAGCTGGGACTACAGGCCTGTGCTACCACACTTGGCTAATTTTTGTTAGTAGAGACAGAGTTTCATCATTTTAGCCAGGCTGGTCTTGAACTCCTCACCTGAGATGATTTGCCTGCCTCAGCCTCCCAAAGTGCTACAATTAAAGGCATGAGCTACTGCACCGGGCCCATTTCTTGAATTCTTGGTGTCAGCAGTTATTTTGATAGAAATGGAACAGTTAACATCAGGAAAATTGGGACAATAGGAATATTCTGAAGAAAATGTTTATATTTGTGTGTGTATTTATTTGTAACCTGGCAATATAATCGCATCTTATTTCCAAGTGAGAGAATAAACATACCTTTCCCAACAGGAAGTGATGTCAGTGGAGGATGAATCCACATCCTGTTACTGCCTTTTGGACCCCTTTGCGTGTCATGTGCTCCTAGACAGCTTTGGGACCTATGCACTCACAGGAGAGCCAATAACAGACTGTGCTGTGAAGCAACTGAAGGTGGCGGTTTTTGGCTGCATGTCCTGTAACTCCCTGGATTACAACTTGAGAGTTTACTGTGTGGACAATACCCCTTGTGCATTTCAGGTCAGCCTTTGTTTTAATAATTTTCTTTTGGTGTCATGAAAGTGTAGGTTTTCCAAAAGATCAGTATCAATTGAAAATTCTATTATTGAGTGTCTGGAAAATGAACCCAAGCTACTGTAACTACCCAGTGGATTCACCTTGCCCGCTGCCTAGACAGAGCCGATTTATCAAGACAGGAGAATTGCAATAAAGAGATACATGCAGAGCCAGCTGTGCTGAAAACCAGAGTATTATTATTACTCAAACCAGTCTCCCCAAGAATTCACGGATCATTGTTTTGAAGGACAATTTGGTGGGGAGGGGCTAATGATTGGAAGTGCTGACTGGTTGCACTGGAGATGAAGTCTTAGGGAGTCTAAGCTGTCTTCTTGCACTGAATCAGTTCCTGGGTTAGGGCTACAAGATAGATAAGCCAGTTTATTCACGGGGTGGTGCCTACTGATTCATGTACAGGGTATGCAAAATATCTCAAGCACTGATTTTAGGATTTACAATAGTGATGTTATCCTCAGGAGCAATTTGGAGAGTGTCAGAATCTTGCAGCCTCCAGCCGCAAGACTTCCAAACCATCATTTCTAACCTTGTGGCTGATTTGCTAGTCCTACAAAGGCAGTGTAGTCTCCAGGCAGGAAGGGGGATTGTTTCAAAGTTAAATTATAATGTAAGCTAAGTTTCTCCCAAAGTGCCTATACACAGGAATGAACAAGGACAGCTTGGAGGTGGCCTAGGAGCAAGGTGAAATTGGTTAGGTCAGATCTCTTTCACTGTAATAATTTTCTGTTATAATTTTGGAATGGCAGTTTCACCACTGGTTTGACTGGGATTGAAGCAAAAGCCGTGCTACTGTGTGGTCAGCAATATAAAATGGGTTGGGGTACTTGGCATTCAAGAAGAGAGAAAAGCTAAACACATGTGCAGAACATTGTGTACTAAATTATGCAACCGGCCAGAAATGTAGTCAGAATTCAGCAAACAGAGACACAAACGGAGAAGAGTTTTTGAGAACCATTTTACAGATTTTCATGGAGGGATGCGATTTAGGAACATAACAGAAAGGAACATGACATCAAGAGAAAAAAATAGCATGAGCCACAGGAACAAAGAGAGTTATTTGATGTTCAGAGGGCAGTGAGAAAATTGCTTGAATCAACTGAAGGTTGTAGTTAGGGAACGACAATTATAAATCATACCTATCACCAGGCAGTGATTTTATATCCCAGACTATAGTCTATTAATTATCAGGGCTACTAGGGCAGAGATGGTTCAAGGTTCCTTTCCATTTTTGGTACTTTTAATCATGTAAAATTCATTTTAATTTAGCTACTCAGGAAGACTGCACGTTTATTAATAGCAACAAGGATGATGCAGAACTGCCTGTGTTAGCTCTGCCCATACATAAATAGCACAGCTCTCCTGACACACCTCATTCCAGATCCCTGCTATTTCAGTTTGGGGTCATTAAGTCCATTATGCAGAGCATTTTCTCAGTAACTAGATTTCAAGACACTTAACTAGAAAACTCATGTTTACCAGTAGAAAAAAATACCATGACTTCACTCCTGAACAATAAGCCAGTAAAAGTGACATAGAGCCAGCCTGTGTTTCCAGACCACCCCTGAGTATCTCTTAAGTAGCACAGGTCATTGCGAAGGGCATGCTTCATCTTTGGCTGCTCACAAAAGGGGCTTCTTTCAGAGGTGTGCCATTTTGTGGAATTAGACACTTCAGTGTAAGTAGTTAAACTTCCTCCCACAATTGTCATTTAATACTTTTCCTCTGCACTCCCCACCCCCTAGTAAAAAGATTGCTCCAAAAGAAAATATTTAACAGATATTCAGAAAGCAAAAATAAAGAATAAATATCTTAAATGGAGGGTTCATGTTGGGGTCGCTACTATCACTAAGCAGGTGTAAAACGCACCATGACTCAAGTTGAGTGTTTAGTAACTCAGCCAGATTTTAAAGGCGGAGTAAACTGGAATAGCCATGGAGCATCATGGAAGATTTCCAATCTCCTGGCTGATATAGATAACCCACTGCTGACTGCTGTGCCTGTATGAAGCTGCTCACCCAACTGCCTTGGAAGTCAGCCCTCATAACCAGTTTGGAGTTTTCTTTGAATAATGGTCTCCCTGCTGATGTATACAGCAGTGAGATAGACGTGTACTTAAAAGAGCTTTTTCTCAGTGACTTTCAGATCATCTATTTTCATGTCTGTTCATTGCTACCATATTCTACCATGGCTCCACTCTTCACAGATGAATACAAATTACCGTGGACGTCATGAAGACACCCTAAACATAGCTTTTCAAACCACTATTCATTTCTGGTTGGTAATAGAATCTTTTTAGCCAGTACCAGGGAGAATGCTATTCTCCCTTTAATTGAATCCAAATGTATTTCATCATAGAAAGATATTTCTTAAATTAGTAAAACTCTTTAATTTCGCTCCAGAGAAATGTTTTTCCATAGATATATCTTTTTACCTCCAGTGGTTCTCTCTCCTATTATGGCAAATAAAACTGATTTTAAAGCTGTATTCGGTTGCGCTTATTGACAGGATGTATATGACAGCTGTCACGAGCAGAAAGGCCATGTATCCCCTCTGGGGTTTTGAAAGATCATCAACCTTGCTTGGATAAGTTTTCTGGCCCACATATGGATTAAAATGAAACTTGTGGCTTTTCTGAACTGTGACTTCCTAATATAGGAAACAGCCATTTACTCCTCAGTCTTAGTTTCTGAAACTGTCTTGCTTTCTGGATTTTTACTTTGCTAAGTGAATGTGTTCAGGGCCTTCTGCATAGATTTACTTTTATCACCTGCATATTCCAAATAATTTGTTTCATATTGTGATGCTTTCATATGTGTTATTGAATTGGAGGAGGAAATTAGAATCCATTAAAACAGTTCTATTTTAGGAAAGTCTTAAAAACAGTTCCTTTTTTGAACCCCTAAAAGACCTCACAAATTAGTATTTAGCGCTCTCATCTTCTGTGGGGCGTAAGCTGAAAATATAGTATATGGTAATAACATTTTCTGCAACCCTCAAAGAACCCTGACTTCTTAATCACAATCAGTAAGTAGTTTTTTGTAGAGCATTTCTGCAGAAATTGCCCACCCTGGAATGTGCTTCAACCACCTTATAATGATATGTTTGTTGTAATTAGGAAATCGATGTGAACATGGTTGTGACAGATGCTGTATTTATTGAGTGCATCTTTCATATCCCAAAGACTGATAACAGCTATGTGCCCAATTCTAACTAACTGTACTCTTAACCACAAAGAAGCTGGGGTTAAGTGCATTGTTGCATCTTTGATTTCATTCATGTCTCACTGGGAGATTATATCCCATGAAACACTTAAATGCCTACCCTCTCCCTGGAAGACCTTACGAGAAGGAACAGGTAGAGACTCAACTCCACCTGTCCTCTCAGAACTGAGAGGAGACCAGGAAATATAATGGGCTCCCCATAGAATATTCCTTGAGATAATTTCAGTATCTAAATAGGGACATTCTCTATTTTTAGTCCTGTCTTTCTTTCCTTGTACCCCATACAGGGCTATTTGATTTGAGTCTCATTTGCTCTCAGGGTAGCTTATCTGAGTAATGGTAGCAATTTCTTTGACAAAAACAAAATACCTCATGTACCTGGCTAAGACATAATTAGTTTCAGATTTCTGAAGATCTGTTCTGATAAACACATCTAAAGCCATCTCTGAAAAATCTGCTATGTTTTTAAAAAATGAAAACATCACCTGCCTGTAGGTAGGTGAAAAAAAGTAAGAAGCCAATGAGTAAATAACTTCTTGTCCTTCCTGCTTTTCTTTTTCTGTAATAATTAGGGCTGCCATTTTATGCTTGTGTATTTGACATTGCCTCCTTTGATAAATTCAAACCAAAGGTTGGGAAATGGTGATATTTCTTCAAAGCAGTAACATTTTGAGACCTGGTTTTGCCTTTTGTTACACACACACACACACACACACACACACCGCTCAGATAAACCTTGACATAGATAAGATAGGGTAACTGCTTAATTCCTTGCTTTCCTAAGAATGAAAATAGAAAAAAAAAAAAAAAAAGCTAGGTTTGTTGTTGTTGTTTGGCCATTGTTCCCAGCACTCCTATATAGTACCTCTTGGTACTCATTTCTTACTTGGCATTAACATGGATTTAGAATCTAATTTCAAAGGATTTCCTCCAGATGTAGTTCTTGTGTTTATCAATAATGCAATCTTGAGAAATATTGTTCATGTAAAGCATTTAAAGGAAGACACCATAGCGAACTAATGTGTGTGTGTGTGGTGGGGGGGGGCAGTGTGTGTGTGTAAGTTCAAACAGTTTTGTCTCATAAATATGTAAATTCGGCCTGCCTGTTTTAGTATCCTTGAAGCACACCTAAATATTGCTGCCTGTCAGATTAAATCAACATAAGACCTCAATGAGGCACAAAGCACCCTGGCCACAGCTCCTAGAACTGGATGACTTGCAACCCCAGTGTAAAATGATGGAGTAGAATGCTGAGAAAAACCACCATCCAGAGCCTTCAGGTACATTTTATATACAAGAAACTGGCCAGATCCTAACTCCTAGTTTCATTAACTCAGATTATCAGTTTAACAATGGAATGAGGTATTTAGCAGGAGGTCCTTGTCATATAGAGGGCAGATCAGAAAAATCAAATGAATATCACTCACTCTTGGGGCAATTCATCCATGTGAGTGATTTAGAACTAGCTAAGCAGAGTTGTCCATACCTGGCTTGTCATCAGAATCATCCGAGAAATGCTTATAAATACCAAGGCCTAGCCCTGGTATAATACAATAGACTCGGGGAACTCTGTGTTAAGTACAATCCACTGTGTTTGAAGAGTATTTTAAAGCTAGTACTCAGGAGTCTATTTATTTAACTTTGAAGCCAATTGTGCCTTTACAAATTTATAAATACAATTATTAGTTCATTATTGGGCTTTTTCATTTTAATAATTGTTTCGATATAGAGTAACTATAATTGCTTAATATCTTGTACCAGATTACAAGACAGTGTTAATTGTATATTGTTGGCTCAATATGTGCAGATTTAAGGAGTAAGCTAATAGAGCAAAAAATAAATCATGCTGTATTTAAGTTTGAGGCCCTAGAGTAGAAATTTTTAAAGGGTATTCTTCCATGATAATTATAAGCTGATATCTATTATTAAAATTCTTAATATTCTCCATTCTGTGTTTAGACAGTATATTTAATTCTATGGCAAATATAGATGGACTTATGTCATCTTATACATATATCCTACACCGATGAAAAATTATTTATGGGACAGAGTTAATGACAGTCTGACTTTCACATGACTCTTTAAAAACATATCAAGCATACTAATAAGAAAAGGCAGGGAAATCTAAGAGAAAAACCACTGGATCATGATCAAGTTGCCCTGGTCTAGTCTCAGCTCTCCCATTAACTATGTGGTTTTAGGTAAATAACTTTCTTCAGGGGACTTCCATGTTTTCATCTGTAAATAAGGAACTTGGTTGTTCTCAATCTTAAATTCTCTTCTAAATAGAAAAATTCTGTGTAGTTTCTAAATGACAAGATAGTCTAGCACTACACTAAATAACACATGATCTTGGCCAAGTCACTTCATTTCTTTCAAGTTGTAGGTAACAACTACTTCATATTTATTAAGAAAAAATTAAATTTAAAGAGAAGGGTTTACTTGAGAGAGCCTAGTTCAAATACACTTGGAAGAGTTGCTGTTATACTAGGGCTTTAATATGGTCTTAATAAGCACATTTCTTGTTCCTACTTGTTTCTAATCTTTCACCAGAATTGCAAAAAGAGGTTAATATAGGTTAATATATTACCATATTAATTATTTTGTTTGACTATAAATAAACTCAGGTAAGGAACTGAGGTCTAAAGAAAATGATTTGCCCAAGACCACACAGAAATGTGATTAGAATTTTATGCTGCTATCTTCAGTTTATGAAATTGGTATTCTTTTGAGAATATGAAGTCACCCAAAGAGTTGTAATGCACCTTAAAACCGGAGCAATATTACTCAAAAATAAAATACAAAGTCCTTAGCATAGCAAGTAAGAATTCATTATGTGTTTTCTGCCCCAGATTTTCATCATCTCCAATCACACACTTTCCACCCCAGCCTTCCATCCCAGCTCTGTCTAGCCACCATGCCTGTGAATGTCCTGCTCAGCATCTGGAATGTCCTCTCCTTCCTTTTCAAGTGGCAAGTTCCTCCATTTATTTCAAAACGTGGCTCAAATACTGTCTCCTCTAATAATTCCCTGACTCCTTTTCCGATCTCCCCTCCCACCTGGGTCATGGTCACCTTCTGTCTTCCTTAACCTCCTGGGCATACATGTATAGTAACAGTTAGATACTATATTAGAATCAATGCCTAGTGTTCTGACCCTTTCTCAATATTGGAAGTTTCTTGATGGTAAAGATTGGTTCATTTCCACATGCCCAGTGTTCAGCTCCAACATAACTCTGATGGAAATTTAGTAAATCTCCAAGAAGGAACCAGTGACCAGAGACTGCCTAATGTCTCACCCAAGTAGGCATTCATAATTAATTTCCTATCCTGCCCATAGTGCCTCTTTTCTTCCATTCCTTGTAGCCCTCACCAGACATTGGCTACCACGTTATCATGTTCAACTCTGAAATCCACAAGATTATCAATTACCTAGCACTGTACTGTCAAGTATGGTCATTACGAACCACATGTGGATATTTAACTTTAATTAAAATTAAAAATTCAGCTCCTTCATCACTCTAGCCACATTTCAGGTGCTTACTAGCACCTGTAGTCAGTGGGTACCATAACAGACCATGCAGATATAGAATATTTCTACCATCACAGCTAGTTTAGCACAGATCCTTTGGCCCCAAGAAACACCCTTCCCACAAACACCACTAAAGAGCTGGAGAAAATGCCACTGATTTAGTCTTGGAAAAATATACCAGCAACCTTTTAGTAGTTCATGTGTACCTAAAGGATAAAACTTGGATGGCTGCTTCTTCGTCAGAAATGTTTTTGTTACTGTCATTCTACTTATGGACAAGAGACGGTTAAGATAACTGGTAAAGGTGTTTTTACTCATTGATAATTGAAATGCAAATCACACTGCCATGTGTGTACCTATGCAACAATCTTGCATGTTCTTCACATGTACCCCAAACCTAAAATGCAATTAAAAAAAAAGAAATGTATGTTTTATTGTGTTTACAAATGTATTTGTTTTCTACGAGCCTTTTTGTTTTAGAATCTGGATTATAAGACAAAGGATTTCAGCTTTTAATTTTTCCTAGCTCTTCAAGGAAATAACATGTCAATTAATGGTGATTTCAAAAATGGACTTTGGAAGCCTCAATCCCACACAGTCATTTATCATTTCACTGAATATGTATTTGTTTTGATATTCTGTTTGTTATATCATCTCTCCAATGTGATTCTAATACCACAAATTTGGAACCAATGAAGTGGTTTGCTCAACAGAATGTATGCGGATTAAGTTTGTATTAGATTGTATTATATAAAGATTTTTCAGTGAAAGCTACAGGAGTGTTTCCTCGGGAATTTGATTTCTGTTTTCCTGAGCTACAGCTAACTTGATAAACAACTTATTTTTCCTTGGCCTTTTGGTATGATAACTTTTACAAACATTACTACAAATAAATATGATACATGCACACTAGAACATTTATTTTAAGCCAAAAGAATAAATAAAATATAATGCCTGCATTTGTGAAGAAAAATTGAACCAGAGTGGAGGGGTGGCTGTTTCTACTTAGTGTGAAATATGATGATGTGTCAGGTTAAGCATTAATGCATCCCTTGATTATGGTCATAGCAGAGTGAAATTCCTACAGTTGTGGAAACCCAGCAGTATTACAGTTTGCTTGGTGGCAGGGGAGGTGTCTGAATTCTAAACAAAGGCACAGTGTGGTTCAAAGCCTAAGCAACACAAATTGTCTCTTTCTAACCAAGTACTTATCACTCAGCAGTGGTTAATCCTTAGTCCTGAACTTTGTGGGCTATGGAGCTGTAAAGAAGTATGTTTCTCCTCTACTGTCTGCCCGTTTGTGGAAGACACATGGTGGTGAGTGTGCATATCCCTAGACAGGAAATATATAAGCAGTGGGATGTTTCATTATTGATCCTCTTTTCTTTTTCTTCTATAGGAAGTGGTTTCAGATGAAAGGCATCAAGGTGGACAGCTCCTGGAAGAACCAAAGTTGCTGCATTTCAAAGGGAATACCTTTAGTCTTCAGATCTCTGTCCTTGATATTCCCCCCTTCCTCTGGAGAATTAAACCATTCACTGCCTGCCAGGTACTGGCCAAACGGGTTTCTCACAGAAACAGCTTTGCTTTAACTAGCAAGCATGTCACAGATCCCGGCAAGGGTCAGCTTGATTTTCCTCTTCCTTTAAAGGATGGATTTCATCTCAAAACTGTCACAGAAAAGTAACAGTTTGGGCTACACGCAGGGAGTGAAACATATTGTCATAAATTCACAGCATTCTAACAGGTAGGAAGAAAGATACTTGCACATTAGGTGAGATCACATTTCTCCTCTTTCCTGTTGGAATCGTTGCTCAATATAGGTTGAAGATGCCAATTTAGCAACATAGAGCCAGGTTTATGGGTTTGTTTGCTTTTATTAAAATCAGTTCATTATGAGACAGCATTTTAATCATATTCAGCAATGAAGAAACAATGTCACTGAGAAACTTTTTAAGGGTGATGATTTTGAGTTATAGGGAGTTATGGCTAGCCAGATGAAAATAAGAGGTTTTGTCTTTTGTATATGAAGTACACTTGCTGCCAAATGAATTAGGCAAGATGGGAAGAAGAAATTTAAAAAATTGAAAAGCAAAGAAAAATCATGCCTTTCTCTTTTGAGATGGAGTCTCTGTTGTCCAGGCTGGAGTGCAATGGTGCGATCTCGGCTCATTGCAACCTCCACCTCCCAGGTTCAAGTGATTCTCTTGCCTCAGCCTTCCAAGTAGCTGGGATTACAGGTGCCTGCCACCATGCCTGGATAATTTTTGTATTTTTTACTAAAGATGGGGTTTCACCATGTTGGCCAAACTAGTCTTGAACTCCTGACCTCAGGTGATCCACCCACCTCAGCATCCCAAAGTGCTGGGATTACAGACATGAGCCACCACACCTGGCCAGAACATGCCTTTCTTAAGAATCCTTTTTATAAATATATAAAGATACTTATTATTGTACACATCTCCTATTAGAGGTTTTTTAAAACATTTTGGGGAGGCTCAGAATCTCTTTGGATCCTATTTAGTTACCGCAAGTACATGCTGAGCATTAAAAGATCTCTTATAAACTTGCGATCCTGCTGCTGAAGTCTATGAAAATTCCCAGTGACACGTATTAAAGTAAGCAGCTAGCTAGCCTACCATAGTTTCTGAAGCCAGTCATCTGTGCTTCAAGTGCTTAAGGACAGGATAGTTCCTTAACTCTGGAAAAGCTTCTGGTGGACTCACACCGATCTAGAATCACAGAATGCTTTCAGGCTTGTTTTGCCCATAAGCATAGTGTGTAGAATCCTGTGGGTTTTGTAACCTTCCATCCTTGCAGCATTTATTTTTTAAAAAAACTATACACAGGTATACCAGCTTGTCAGTATGGGAACAAGCCTAGTCACAAAGAAGCTCTGACTGCATCATGATGGTCAGAAAAAATTGCACCAACAACCATCCATCTTCTAAAATTTAGGATTTTTAAACTGGACAGGGATACATTTTTCTATTGACTTTTTAGACTTATTACCTGAGGAATTGCCTATCTGTCCAGTTTTAGTGCATTCAAAGACAAAACCATCTCTCATGGCCCTGAACATTTTTGAGGTGTGGGGGCCAGGGGAATATTCAGCACATTTTTTCTATGGAGAGAAGTTTTCTATGAATAAATATATTGTGTATGACATTTAAGGTATAGGTATCTTTGCTTCCCAGTAAGCAGTATTCAAAGTTTCTAGTCCAAATTGAACTTCAGAGTATTGTTAAAGCAAGCCCTGATAGTCATGCAAATTCCTCTGTATTAATCTTTATAGGTTATAAGGGCCTCATTTCACTGGATGTGATACAAGTGACTCAGTCCAAAGTGAACTATTAAGTTTAATGCTTGGAGATAAAAAATCAGATGAAAGAACCATTATCTTGCAGCATCACTTAAACAATAATTCTGACACCAGTGATACTGAAAGACCCCTAAGCCTCTTCTTCCTGGGGCTCTCAAGAGATTACTGACCTCAGAGGGTATAACAGGACCTGCCAAAGCCAGAGGATATTGGCTTTCAAGGAAACCCAGCAAGCTTTACTGCTGGGATGGGTTGGATTACATGGAAGTTGTGAACATGTATAAATATTTGCCTTGTGTAATTGAGCATAATTTGAAAGAGTCTTGGAAGGCTGAGAAACAATTTAATTTTCTCTGCATCAGGAGGCTTGCCACTGAGTTTATTTTCACTTCATTTTTCTTACCCCAAATGGCTTTCCGCTCTATTCCTCCTTTCTCTTCACCACCCCGACCACCAATTTTCTTGCCCCTCATCATCATTGAAATCCCTCAGCTTGTGTGAATGCATATTGTGCTTGGCCTAATGGCCATGCTGTGTTTGCTCTGGGCATTAGATGTAAGCACTTAGGGGAGGGTTTGTGTTCAGCCTGCTTGAACCTCATGTAGAACATCGTGTGCACTGACAAACTTGGCATGGATAATAGAGAATGGCTTTTCATTAGGGCTTAATGGTTAGGAACTAACAGGGCCTGTTTCTTGCTATGTCAGAGAGCTATTGTAGAGATAGAAAATCACATTATTCCTGACATCGTTATAGGTCTCTCCTTCAATTGGTGAATCTCCCTTTCTTGAATTTCAACTCAGGAATCTCAGAGCCAACATATTACCAATTGGTACCCAAACTATTCTACTAGGAAACTTTCCTGTTTTCTTCTGGGAAAGGTGGAATTTCCCAGAAAGGTACAAGCTGGGGAAATACCCAGTGCATATAATGTTTTCCCTATCTGACACCAACGAACTGCATGAGAAATGTTTTTAGAATGGTGTGAGTTCAAGGTTGGGACCAGAGGTATGCCATGAGAGCCTGTATGTTGAAAGACCAACTCGATTTTAAATCTTGTTGATTTAGGTTCTGGAGGATTAGTTTATGGATGTCATTGCTTATGAAGCCAGTTATGTTGGGTGAGAAGTCGGAAAGGCTATGTCAGCTCTTCTGAGATCTCATTATGGTAGCAACCACTGACCTTAGTTCAAATAAACCTGAGGCCCACAATGCTAGTCTCCCCAAGTAAACAATTCATTATTCCCCATTTTCTTGTCAATACCTAAGATTTTACCATGATTAGGGTTATGTACTTTTCCCATCTGTAGAATTAGCAACCCTCCTCTGGGAGGTAAATAATTATACTTTCAATAAGTTACTGGGACCTGAGAGCACCTAAATCAGTTCCTTTTATTCTTGCTGGGACCTGACAGCTCCTAAATCAATTTCCTTTATTCCTTGCTGGCTGTGGGTTAGGGAAGCCATAATAAACATAATACAATAAATTAATAATTTATTTTTAAAAGCCAACAAAACACAAAGTCAAGTTGTCACCTCCCTAGGGTAAAAGCAGCTGTCTTTCCAACATGCTGTGTATCTTGGAAAACCCAGTGTCTGTCTCCTGCTAAGATATGATTTACATTCTCTCCATCTGCTAGGAACCTAATTATAATAGGAGTCAAAATGAAAACATTTCCGGAATTCTTTAAACACCCATAACTTTGCTACACTATCTCCTCCCATATTACTTTCCACATAATTCCTCTCCGCTCAGCAAGCTTGTTGGTGATTTTTGTTTTTGTTTTTGGAATAAATGAAAGTGAAGATGATTGCCCTGAAAACACACTAATCATAGTGCTTCTAATTCTATTATTTTAAAATGTTTTGTTGACTGCTATTGACAGCTGCTACTCAAGTCAACAATAAAAAAATATTCCTTTGATACTTTCTTAAAATCAGATTTTCAAAATGTTTGGATAGTGTTCAATGGAATGGAAAGAGAGAAGAGGGTTGTTTGTTTTTGTTTTTGATGCTGATTCTCATGTCTTTCTGCAAGGAAAAATTATCTCTGCAGTATGCATTACTTTTTTATATTTCTTCCAGTGTTTATAGTGGGAAATGTAAGGAATTTAGTAAATGATATCAGAGAAGACACACTTAAATGAGTGGTCAGTGTCTTTTTTTCAGAAGGCAAACAGTACTAAGGATTCGAATCAAATTGCAGAAAACATACATTTGCCTAAGAGCTGCATCTTGAGCACAGTTCTTTGTCTAGCCCTGAAGTCCAACTGCTTGCATTACAGTATGATAACCTGAATCTCAATTTTAGGAAACAAAAATTTCCTAGTTAGCTTAGCTGGGCAAAACTACCTTAGGCAAAAGCACCTGTGAACCTCAGAGTGCTATGTTATGGTTACTTTCATTGAAGCACATGGTGCAAAGCAACTCTACAAAAATTCACTGGTTTGAAGAGAGTTTATTTGAGGGCTAATAAAAATAATGAAGAAACAAGTACAGGGCACTAGATGGTGGAAGCTTTTGAAGGCCAGGCAGGAGATGGAGTTCCACACAGCAGGCATCAAAGGACCATTGTGATCCCCCAAGCAAAAGACTCATGTAAGAAATGCAGAGTTCCTAGGTGACCTGGTCACATCAATGCCTACCCCCCATCATTAGAGATAGAAAAGAGACCATAGTGCTATTTCCTGAATAATTCCAATCAACTGCCTTCTGTTTGCCTCTCCAATTAAGCTCCAACCCCCTCATTTGCTCTATCTAGTAGAATTTGAAGGCAGGAAGACTGGGAATAGGTAAATACAGTTAGCCATGATGAAAGTGTAACATCAACCAGAATATTAGAGGAGAGTAAAGATCGGAGAGAGATGATGGCAATCAGTTTCCAAAAGTTACATTTGCCAGACAAGTAAAGACCAAACAAGATTATTTGTAGTGCTTAGGAGTATCATACCAGAGATTGATAATAATGAAATAAATACCAGAGATGAAGTTTTTGGAATCCTCCACAGGGAGATGGCAGTTGGGGCAAGTGTGAGCATATGGGATCTTGAAGAGTGCAGTAGGCAGGGAGAGAAGCGTAGGAGGCTGAGGTGGAGGAAGGACTGCCCATGGTTTATAAAGTGGAACAAGGCTTAGGAGAATTAGGAAGAGACTCAGATTAGATAACAAGGAGAAATGGCAGAACTTGTAAGTGCATATGATGGTACAGGTGAAAAGTCATTTTGGAGTATTTTAGAGAAAATGACTTCCTATAGGCATTGCCAGGAGGTCCCACCAATCAGAAATGCCCTCTGCTGCAGGATCTACCACAGGAAGAAAAGAGATCATAGGTAAAACCTTTTTGTATTAGAGGAAAGTGGGAAAGTGTTATCATTAAATGGACGTGTGTTGTCAGCTGATGGTACAACCAAGTTTTCCTCCAACCAAAAGCATTCTTAGTGATCATTAGCTTGGTGCATCTTCCAGCATTTTCTAGGCAATAACTTCCCTCCGGAACTCACTACTAGCCCCTTTAAGGGTTGCCCAACTCACATCAGTTTCTAACGTAACATTTTCAAATCAAGAAACATTGTTTTCATCAAGAAAACAGAAGGCACTCAAGACATTTAAAACTGAGATGAAGGCCGGGCGCGGTGGCTCAAGCCTGTAATCCCAGCACTTTGGGAGGCCGAGGCGGGTGGATCACGAGGTCAAGAGATCGAGACCATCCTCGTCAACATAATGAAACCCCGTCTCTACTAAAAATACAAAAAAAATTAGCTGGGCATGGTGGCGCATGCCTGTAATCCCAGCTACTCAGGAGGCTGAGGCAGGAGAATTGCCTGAACCCAGGAGGCGGAGGTTGCGGTGAGCCGAGATCGCACCATTGCACTCCAGCCTGGGTAACAAGAGCGAAACTCCGTCTAAAAAAAAATTTAAAAAAAATAAAAAAAAAAAAAACTGAGATGAAATTTAATTAAGTGGTTTATGTGATTACAAAACCACTATGGGGAGCCAAGGTGACAGAAAGCCACTAGTGGTATTAGAAAACCAGTCAGGTCAGGAATTTCAGGAAAGTACACCAGCACTGAAGCAGTGGATTCTCCAGGGAATATCCAGGAGCCCCTGCACACCTTTCTTGGGCTGTCGATTGAAGCCTTCCAGTACGCCCGTTAGCTGGGCTGTGATGGCCTCTGCACTTCCTCTCCCTTCCAAATCTAACATGAGTACCTCTTATGGGAAGAATGGAAATGGGAACTCCTTCCAGCAAGGGAGTCTATAAAATGCAGTTTTGAGGCTTCCAGCCCCTGCCACATGGAGAAGAATAGAGAATGGCAAAGATTCGAGTTCCATACTAACAGCACACATCATGCACAGGAATGAAGTCCATGAAATGCCAGATCATTTCCCCCCTATAGACCTTCTCTGCATCCTTCTTGAAATTCCACTTTTCCTTTGGTTCTGGGTTAAGAACAAACAAAACAACCCAGAAAATTCTTACATTTATTGCTGAGATGCATGGTAGAATATTTGCTTTTGTTATATGTCCTATTCCCTTAAAGCTAACTCTCCTCTCTTCAAATTCAAAGCAATCTAAAATCCATCCATCCCTCCTCCCTGAATCTACCAGAAAGTATCCAACATAAAAATCTGTGAGGATTCCTATAGATAAAATTAGGAAACAAGGTATCTAAACAAGTGTTCACATAAGGGCTCAGGAATAACTAGGTAACTCATAGCTTCTCAAAGGGAACAGATCATTTTATTCAGGCTCTGCAGTCTCATGACCTGTACTGGCTTCATCACCAGTCATAGTTCAGGGTTCCAAACTTCCAGACTTGATACCTGTCTTGCCACTTTTCAGTTCTAGTATTGCAGAAAACTATATTTTAGCAATAGGTAAAGGAGCAAACTAATAAGAAATAGAGGAAAAAGTGAGCGTGAGGATTATTAGAGGCATATGTGGTCATTGCCAAGGGCCAAGCCACATTTGAGTAGAAAGGAGAGAGACTTTTTAGTACATGAAAAAATTTCAGTGATTAACATCTACTTCACATTATTAGACACAGTCTGGTAGTAAGCACTGGCTAATACTAGGAAACATGAGTAATTACAGATTTTATAAGTTCCCTTCTCATTGACTAAAAGATACTTTTGCCTCTTAATTGTCTATAAGCCCCTTGAGAGTGGGGAACTGAATCTGTTATTGTTTCTTATTGTTTACCTAGTATGGTGATCATTAGCAGGCCCTTTATATATTATAGTTGAATGGACAAATTGAGGAAATGAAGAATTGACAAACTAGATCACTCTGGGGTGACCCTGTATATGTGTTTATCTGTCTCTCTCCCCACCCTCTGTCACTCTCTCTTTCCCCTCCTCCCTCCCTCTCTCTCTTTCCCTGGCTGTGTGTATATGTGTGTGATTTTGTACTAGGTATTAATTTTTATGTTGGATATATTAGCAATACTGCGTTCTCACAATTCTGCATGAGTTTGGGGTATGGGGTTAAGTTTTGGCCAGTCAGTTCCTTAGCATAATTTTTACCTAAGTGAAAAGATAACTTCCCACCCCAGACTAAAGTAGAAGCATGGCCTGTAGGAGTCTTCCAAAGGAAAATATTTTCTAAGTGGGGAAAGAAAAATGATAATTTTTGATGGCATTCTAATGGTGTGTCACCAAGTGAAAGCTGAGCTCTTGCAGTGTGTTTTTGGAATTCAAATGTTATCATTTGGAATTGATATTAATTACTTTTGTGCTCCTTGGCATTTGCTGAAATGTTATTTCTACAACAATTCCACTAAAGTTGCCTAGGCAATTATCTCCACTGTGATCGTTGTCATCATCACCATCATCATTGCTTTAATCATCATCATCATCATCATCATCATCATCCTCCTCCTCATTGCTTTAAGTCCCTCCTGTGCTAGTTCATCTCAGCCGGGCTCTGCACACCATACCTCCCTTCTCTCCCTCTCCCCTGCAGGAAGTTCCAGTTCTCCCGTGTGTGGTGCAGTAACCGGCAGCCCCTGCACTGTGCCTTCTCCCTGGAGCGTTACACGCCCACCACCACACAGCTGTCCTGCAAAATCTGCATTCGGCAGCTCAAAGGCCATGAACAGATCCTCCAAGTGCAGACATCGATCCTAGAGGTGAGTCCTTGATCTACAGGTCATTTGACCCTCTTTCTGAAGGATGATAAGAATAATAAAGCTATCCCTACCAGCCGTGCTATTCAGTTTCTTCAAGAGCTTCAAAATGCACAAACTCTTAATCTTCATTACTGATAAGTAAAAGTAAACCTTGTTTCAGGCCAAGGACTGAACTAAAGGAGGTAACTTTGAGGAAGGAACTGGTACCAGGCTTTTGATACACAAAATAGCAAGAAGCCCCTCTCAGTCCACAGCAGGCTAGGATTATCAGGTGAGATTCATTATAGAATGAAGCCAGATGGTGCAGTTGAGATACATGCCACAAAGAGGCACAAAGCTACCCTCAGACTGTTTTTCTACTGGTTCTGACTAGTTTCCCAGAAGTCAGTTGCCCTATATGTGTTATTTTATCTCCAGCAACTGGACTCCCTGTCTTACCGTTTCTCATGCCCCCCCAGGCTTAGAATTCTGTACATCCACATTTCCATTACTTCATTCCAATACAATAATATAAGAAGGACCTCATTCTACAAGGTAAGGAAATGCAAGTGCAAAGAGAAATAGGACTTCATCCAGGTCAGATCAGTATTGTAAGGTGGAGTTAGAGTAGCAGTCAAGGGAGGATTCACTTGAGCATTTTTGAAAAAAGACATCTGATTTCCGCCATGGCTCTAATTTGTGCTAAACCACCAAGTGACTTCATGGGTTTGAACTTAAGCTTATAAAGTAGACAATAGCCATCCTTCCTGAATGGGATAGAGGGAGAGATTAGCAGAGGGATTGTGATGCTTTTCTTTGACAGTTTCCAGGTCATTCGAGGCTAGTGCAGGAAAACATGCATATTTTGCTCACTTATAGGATAAATATATACATATACATACATATATGCATTTATTAATATAAAAATACATATTTATAAATTTAGGCTTGGTAGAAGATTGAACACATTTATATACATGTTATTCAATTTCAGGGTTTTTTCTTGGAAAATTTATAGCTGTAGAGCATTATTCCTTCTCACTCTTCTCATTTGAATTCATTGTTTATGCAAAATGAGTATTGCTAATTCCCCAAATAGTTTTTCTAAAGAGTAGACGGCTTTCCAAAGGATTGTGCCTTAAAATTGATAGCTGTCTAAATTGACATGTTTATGCACTATTTGCATTCATTATTGCCAGTTAGCATTATGTGCTCAAGTAGTTTTGATGGCGAAGGTAGATCTGGAAACCCGGGGTAGGATAATTTTAGGGGCTCTTTCTTGAACAGTGATGGTGTATTTCACACGATATGTTTCAAAGTAAAATAAAAATTGTAGGAAGGTTTTAAAAATAAAAAGAAAATCCTAGAAGAGCTGGTATTCAGAAGGTAGGTATGAAATGGCATCACATAACATCTCTCATCCAAATTGCCCTAGATGTCTGTTAACAGGCCAAATAAAGAGTTCAGGTTTAAAGGTTTTTGTTGGTGAACACATGCAGATATTAGTGATCAATGTGTGCTATTACAGGATGTGGTAGGTATTTTTGCTCCCTGTTTAATAAATTCTTAAAGGTGCTTGAAAGGAAAATTAGCTAATAAATACAACCTTATTGTTTATTCTCCAATTTCTTTTCTAATGCTTTACCAGTTTACAGTCACTTAGAAATGCCTTGCAGAAGATAACATCTCTTGATAATGAGAGGAAAGTATCAGAATAATATTTCAATATTTATTGTTAGGCTATAGTCATCCAATTTGAGGGCTGCTACATTTTGGAGGCTTTATTAACCCTTTGATCCTTTTAAGGATCACTTTATTAATTGCTTCAAGCATTGCTGGAGAATTTGGCCCAGGTTGTCTTCTTCACTTTGTGATAAACTGTATTTCCTAGACAAGCCTAATTTGCTCTCATTTTTTATGTCAAAAGGTGACTAATAACTTCAGTAAGCTGCTATATTTCAGCTATCGTTTCATTTGCTTTTATATTGGTCATACAGCCATCAAAACTCTGTGGGTTAAGTACGAGTACTATCACAATTTGACATGCTATAAAAGTCTCAAAGGCATCAACTTTCTTGTCCAAGATCAAAGATCATGGAACTCATAAGGAAGTGGAGCCACAGTACTCAACTCAGAGACCTGACTTCAGGATCAAAGTCTGACTACACCACTATACTACTCCTTGATCCCAATCAAGGCCGTCTAATGGATTAGCTTTAACTGTGGGCCTTGTTCATAATATGACTTCTCTTTGGGGGCTCAGGTACTAGTGACAAACATCATAGCATCAAGTAATGATTTCAAGTACCTGAAAATATATGAAAATTAAGAAGTTCTTTCTTCAAAAGAAGAAAGGATGAGATGTAACCATCTGTGTGATGGACTAGAACAGTTCATTCTATAATAGAGATCCTACACATAGCTCTGCCAACAAATGGATGTCTTAGTTGAATGATTGCTCAAACCCATTTAATCCTGGGATTGCTGGACTCACAGGAAAGACATGCATCTGGTGATACATCTGATGAATAAAAACTGTCCTCTTGGCTGGGCACAGTGGCTCATGCCTGTAATCCCAGCACTTTGGGAGGCTGAGGTGGGCAAATCATGAGGTCAGGAGATTGGGACCATCCTGGCTAACATGGTGAAACCCAGAATCTACTAAAATACTCAAAGTAGAAAAAATTAGCCAGGCATGGTGGCAGGTGCCTGTAGTCCCAGCTACTTGGGAGGCTGAGGCCGAAGAATCACTTGAATCTGGGAGACGGAGGTTGCAGTGAGCCAAGATCATGGCACTGCACTCCAGCCTGTGTGACAGAGCGAGACTCTATCTTAAAAAAAAAAAAAAAAAAAGAAAAAAAGAAAAAAAGAAAAAAGAAACCTGTCTTCTTTTCCCTAAAAATGACTTAATTTTTTGGTAAATGGTTTTAGCAAAAGTGAAGATGCAGAAAGTGCTGAGAAATTGGGACAACCTGGGGAAGTGCCAGATACATTCTAAAATTCTAGACACAGGTCTCTGTCAGTGAGTTAGGAATAATAGATCGACTTTTAAAGTGCATCACACTTCATGTCCCCTAGGCAGAAAAAGACTACATTTAGGTGATTTAATATGTTAGTAAGATAAATTAATCAAATTAACATTTATAATATATATAAGATTTAAGATTTATAAGATACTTTATATCTGAAATACTGATTTTATGTATTAATAGCAGTAAGATACCTATCTTAAATACTGCTTCAAATATTTAAGTCAATGCAGTAATCATCCTTACTGAAGGCATTTGATCCTTCATGTTCAGCCTCATCCCTGACATATCTCTTCATCCCTCTTATCTACGTGATTTTTCAAATAAACCCAGTCCTTCATATCACCTTCACACTTAAAGTTATTTTTGTGAACAAGATAATATATCTTTTTTTTTTTCTTTAGAGTGGTCATTATTGTATCAGTCTTTAGAAGCAAGTTTTTCCTCTTAAATTTAACTCTATGGAATTACCTAATGATTATTGCCAATCAATACTCCAATAAACCAAGAGTATCAACAGTCTAAAATTATAGACCTGAGTAAACAAACAGTTTTACAAATATTGAAGAGAAGAATCCCCAAGTAATTTATTTCATCATTCCTTATTAATGTTACATTATTAAAGAATCTTTTTTTTTTTCAGTATAAACAACTTAAAGGAAGCTTGCATGCTACAATTTTCCCTTCAAGCATTTCTCTTATCATTTTTTTTTAAAGTGTTGGAAGTTGGGGGATAATTTGTCTGTTACAATAGACAGAATAGTTGGAATTTCTCATTGATTTACAAGTCCCTTAGCTTACCAGGTAGCAGCTGCTTATCTCAGATGTCCAGAGCGTGAAAATCTACTGTGCCTCTGCATATTAATTTAAACAATCAGAAAATGTGATGTATCTACAGGATTCTTATTACTTGGCCCAGATGTCCTTTAGAATGCATCATAAATGTTACATAAAGTATCATCCTTATGCATGGAAAATATTTAAATTTGAAAACTTTAAGAGGGAAATGGGGACCCACTTATTAACATGTCATAAATTGAAAAGTTACTTGTTTTTAGACTCAGTCTTATATAATAGTTTATTCACCTTCAAATAAGACTACCCTGTTCAGCTTTTTCTGAAGATATCATGCATCAAGGTGTTTTTTCTTCTGCCCACAGAGAAGAGAGAGCTTGGTCAACAAGTTTATGGGTACCATGAGGGCTTTCAGAGGCCAATTCTGTCTCTTGGGATCCTTCAGCAAGGGCACTTCAGTGTTTAAGTTTAATTGATAAGCTATGTCTTTGGCATTAAGACCCTTTGGTGTCATTTTACACTGACAGCTACCATGTTAGCTTGCATAGAATTAATAGAAAAAAATCCTTCCAGTTTCTATCATAGTCTTAAGTCAGAAAATATGCAAGGATACTATTCCTATTTGATTTGCATTTTTAGAGGCTAGAGGAAATGTTACAAACCATGATAAAAATGATGTCTCTTGTAACCTATTTTAAGCAGTAAGAAGCCGAATTGGTTCATTTTACAACCATTCAAAATATCAGAACAGAATTGTCCACTCTGCCTGAAATAACCACCTATCCACCTAATTTCTATTCAGTTAATGCCTACTTATATTTCAGGCCAACTCAAATGCCTTCCCCGTGAAGTATTTCCTACTGTACTCACAAAACGTTTTCCGTAACCACCTAGTACTGTAGATTTCTTGGCACTTGTCTTGAAACAGGGTGGTATGTTGAAATAAGCACTGTTACAGTTGTTAGGATATCAGAATTATAGTTTCACCTATGTCGATAACCACTTGGGTGAATTTTTCCAGGTTTCATAACCTCTGTGGAGTCTATACAAATGCAAAATAACTGATTAGGAAATTGGGGCTGAGATACATAAGGTAGCATCCAAGGTCACTGAACCAGGAAGTGTTGAGTTTTACTCCAAAGTGGGGCCTTTCTGGTTCTAAAAACGATGTTTGTGTTACACTACGACAACCTCAAGTACTAGTATAGTTTGACAAGCATTGTTTATTCCAGGAACATAACTAAAACCAGTAAGAAGAATCTGTTTAATATGATAACATGTACTTTGAGGTTCTAAGAAGAGCATGTGATATTCAGCGTTTCTCACATGTGCATGACCATGAAACTGCCGTTTCTTTTAATCTCTTCTGAGATACCCTTTTGGAACTGGTGGATTAAGGCATTTTGTTTCCAAAACAGAGCCCTTAAGATGCAACTGTGTTAAATAGTTACAGAAAAAGAAAAATTTTTATTAATCATTAATGAAATTTCTGTATCAACCAGTTTTCTCATTTAACAGATTTAAGAAACTCTATTTTCAACCTACCAAGTCTGATAGATTTATACTTATGTGAGCCTGGCTGCTGGCTGAAAAAGGCCACCATGGCTGTGGTGCCCACATTAGGAATAATATTTAATAATTGGAAGAGGCATTAGGGCAGGATTTCAGGGAGGGAAGGCAGGGCGTGTATTGACTTGGGGGGCACAACAGGCAAGTTTTTAAGGCAAGGGACAGCTTCTTGGAGTTTAAACAGTTCTAACTAGTCCCTTTACCCAATCCCAGATCTGATGCTTTAATTACCCCTTGAATTAGTTTTCTTTTGCTACGTAACAAACTACTACTTTAGAAGCACAAAACAACACTTACTTATTATCTCACAAGACTGAAACCAAAGTGTTGGTGAGGGCATGTCCTCACCTGGAGCTCCGAGTCCTATTCTAAGTTTATTCAGGTTGTGGGCACCACGTTGTTCCTTATAGCTTTAGGACTAAGGTCCCCATTTTCTTGCTGGCTATTGGCCAGAGGTCACTCTTTACTCCCAGAAGCCACCCACAGGTCCTAGACACATGGCCCCCTCTATAGGAAGTTCACAAAGTGGCTGTTTGCTTTCTTTTAGGCCAGGAGAAAAGGTGCCTCCAGACACGAAGCGCTATCTCCTATCTCATTTGAGGACCACCTGATTAGGTCAGGCCCACCCAGAAAAATCTCTCAATTGATTCAGAGTCAACTGACTAGGGGTGTTAATTATATCAGCAAAGTCCTTTTGTCTTATGATCATGGAAGTGATTCAATCGGCTATTTTTCCGTCCTTAAAATTCTGTTAGTCCACTTAAACTTATTAGCAACCATTACAGCCTGGCACATTTCTGTTGGATTTCATGTTGGAGATAAGGATTAGTACTGAAATGACAAATTCTTACTGGACAACTTTAAACCAGAAGCAGATAGGCAGGCAGCAGGCAGAAACCTTCCTTATTGTACCACCATACAAGCTGGCTATGCATTACTTTGACTCAAGGCTGGCTCTGTTATGCCAAAGCAATTTAATTCTGAAATAATTTTAATTTTGAAATAAAGATATTATAAAAGCACACAATTTTAGGACTAGGGGATAAAAAACATAATTAAAGGTAATCAACATACAATCATACCTTTGTAGCTTTCATACATTTCTTAGCTCCTTTAATCAGCCTGTTCATCATTGGTCAGTTATGACTATCAGAGGGCCATTCCTTACTCTGAACTGAAATCTGTCATTTGATATCTAGAAGCTGAATCTAGATTTATCCCTGAGAGCAGAAAAAAAAAAAAAAAAAGTCTAATTCTGTTCTCACCTGATAGCTCTTTTAATGGTGGAAGCTGGTTATTGTGACTCCCCTGAGTGGAAGAGGCAGTTATAAATTTCCAGTACACAATTTATTAGGCTACTAGAGAAGTTCTTTACTATCTTAGAAGAAAGGGGAACTTATCAATGTATTTTATAGAGTCCGTCACAACAGGCAAGCATTTTGTGCATGTGTATTAACTCAGATTTTCTTAAAAAATAAAAGCGTTAATCAGGACTGCTTTTAGATGGATCTGATCATGTGTTCCTTATTTTGTTTATAGAGTGAACGAGAAGCCATCACTTTCTTTGCACAAGAGGACAGCACTTTTCCTGCACAGACTGGCCCCAAAGCCTTCAAAATTCCCTACTCCATCAGACAGCGGATTTGTGCTACATTTGATACCCCCAATGCCAAAGGCAAGGACTGGCAGATGTTAGCACAGAAAAACAGCATCAACAGGTAACTGGGGGTAACTTCTGGAGGGTGATGTTACTAAGTAAATTTGGAAACATAAAGTAGGCTAAGTGTAACCATGTAGTTTCTGAGACCTAATATTTTTATGCGTTCCTCTGGCCATATTTCATGTGTGTTCCCACTAAGTAAGTGAGAAAAGATCAAGAATTTGACAGTTGGCTAAGCATAGTGGGTCATGCCTGAAATCCCAGCACTTTGGGAGGCTGAGGGAGGCAGATGGCTTGAGGCTAGAAGTTTGAGACCAGCCTGGGCAACATGGTGAGACCCCATCTTAAAAAAAACATAATTAGCTGGGAGCGGTGGTGTGCACCTATAGTCCCAGCTACCTGGGAGGCTGAGGAGAGAGGATCACTTGAGCCAAGACTGCACCGCTGCACTCCAGCCTGGGCAACAGAGTGAGACCCTGTCTCAAAACAAAACAAAACAAAAAACACCTTGTGTGACATTTCCTGTTACCCCATTCTGCCTTTGGCAACATTATAGAAAAGCCCTGCTTTGGTTCTTGTACCATCTCTAGTTTTGCAAATTGAGTCACCCAAATGGGGACTTAGATTATTTTATCTTGGAGATTGTGAGTGAACAGAACACTTTCTCAAGCTAGTGATGCAGAAACAAGCACATTTTTCACCTCTCCTCTCTACTTTCAGGTAACCTTAAGCATGCTTTAACCCTTGTGAGGACATGCTCAACCTACAAAGTCAGTTGCCTGAATAGAAAAAAGGAAGTTTGAGGATAACTTTTGAGTCAGAAGCCAGAAGACGTGAAATAAGCTGAAGCTTGCCTAGGCACTCTGTATGGGCATGCTGCTAAAACTGACACTGCTCATGACTGCACTAACATTTGTAGTTGAGTTGAGAGTAGAATAGAGAGACCCATAATGGGCTTTATTACTAAACCCACTGTACGCCCCAAAATGAATAGAAAACACCTTTTATTTCCCTTTCCTTTGGTACTATGTTTTTCCTTTGAGGCAAAGCCTTATTTTCTTACTGTTCGACTTGCTCTGTCATTTTCAATTTTTGTTCTTTATTTTCACAGACATCCTACCTGACTCTTTCTTCTCTGAAAGGGAGGGTAAATGTCTGTCAAGAAGAAATGGAGTGCTTACTGTCTGTTTCATAGAGGATCGGAAGCCAAGAACTAAGGGCACAACTAGAAATCAGTCACAGTCAGAAAAGTCAAGACAGAGGCATTGCTGCAAGAGAAAACTGAATTTACAGAGACAGGCAAGCCCAAAAAGAATAGACACATGTTTGAAAAGGCATATATCAAAAATGAAATAAAAAATGTGTGAATGTACAGGGGAAAAAATTAGGTTGAATATTTCCCAGCAACTTTGACAAAAGATGAGTTGTCTTGTATATACACAATCAGTGAACACCATGACTGTGTCAAGTTCCCTTTCTGATCAACATGGATACAAAAATGAAAAATGAACCTAGAAAACATCATGTGGTTAAAAAAGAACAGTGAACAGAGACTCAAAGATCTACATGGCAGCTGTGGTTCTGCTACCAATACCAGTCTGCCTAATGAGTCACTTACTATCCCTGTGTTTCTTTTTCTAAAAATGCAATTGACTCTGAACTATGTTAAGTCTAGTTCATGCTGGCTATAAAAGTTTATGATTTTTTAAGTTACCATTTTAAAAAAATGGTCACAGAATACCTGTGTGCCCATAGATGCTGTCATTAATTTGCTGAATGAGTGTATGCATGTTCCTACCTTATTATGTTTTATTCTTCATTTAGAGTAGACATAAGAGAACTACAGGGAGTACCTCCAAAGTCATCAGTGTCTGACCTTGCACAGTAGTGAAAATGCATTTCATACTGGGAGACTAAGTTTAACAACCTTTTGTTTCTGGGCACTAATGAGCCGTCTATGACTATACTGGAGCCAACTCCCCGCTTCTGTGTCTGGGGTCATAAAAACCTGAGTGCTCCTGTGCATGTTGGTTTACTTGTTTTTGTTTTTCTCTAAGATCCCATCTCCAGGAAGATTTTTTTGACATAATTCATATAACCTATTACATGGAAAATTTCTAACACAGTATCCAAAATATGTGGATTCTTAATAAATGCTGATTTTTCCCCTTGACATTTCCACAATTAGCAGCAAAATTAGAATAGCACAAATACGTGGAACCTACTTCTGTCTTTAAATCTTATATAGTCAGGCTCATACCTATAATCCTAGCACTATAGGAGGCCAAGGTGGAAGTATCGCTTGAGGCCACAAGTTCAAGGCCAGCTTGCACTTAGGGAGAACCCTGTCTCTACAAAGAATTAATAAATTAGCCAGGCATGGTTGTGTATGCCTCTTGTCCCCACTATTTGGGATGCTGAGCCAGGAAGATTGCTTGCACCAGGGAGTTTGAGACTGCAGTGAGCTATGATTGTGCCACTACACTTCAGCCTAGGTGACAGAACAAGACCCTGATTCAAAACAATAATAATACTAAATAAATGAAAATCTTATAGTGTCAACATACCAATTTCACTGAGTGTCATTCTCTACCTTTCTCTTTAATCTCCAGCTTTACTCTCAAAAAGCAGTCAAATTATGGAGTGAAAATGATTTAAACTAAGGGCTAACAAATGTATTTTTTCTATAAAGGATCAGACAGGAAAGAGGTCAGGCCATATGAGATCTGTTGCAACTACTCAGCAACTATTAAACTCTGATGCTGTAACAGAAAAGCAGCCAGAGAGCGTCTGTAAACAAATAGATAGGACTGTGTGCCGGTAAGCTGTATTCACAAAAACAGAAAATGGCCCCTATTTGGTCCTGCAATCTGTAGTTCGCTGACCTTTGATTTAAGTGAATCTGCCTTGAAAAACTTCCATAGGATGTTGTTGGCTCTATCAGGATAATACCTGGAGCTGAGGCTTCTCATCCAGCTCTGTCTTAAGGCTGACGTGGTTACAGCAGAGCTGGCCACCAAGATACTTGGAGAATAGGAGAAAACTACTCACAGCCACCTTGCACTCTGTTAGTTTATTCTATTTTGCAGAAATTGTCAAGCTTCCTTTATGTTTTGAGTACTGTCCCAAAGACAAGAGGGATTTGGGGGGATGTAATCCGTCACAACTTTCCATTGTTAAAATCCCAAACCACTGTCTTTGCTCTCTTATGATTCCAAATGATATAGTCTAGAACTAATAGTAAATGTGTTAAAACACTGAAATCTAAAGTTGTCTCTATGCCAATATTATTGAGTAAGAAAGCCATGCACAGCTTGGGATTTCATCAACCCTGGGATCACAAAAAGATGATCACAGAGTACACACACAGTCAGTCATTCTATTCAGGCAGTTCACCTACCTTGATCTTGAGACAGCACTTTCGCCTGACTCTTCCCCTCCATTCAATTCCAAAAAAGTGTTTAAAAGCTAGTAAAGCTACCACCCTCAAATCATTAAGGAAGACTTTCAAAACAAGTGGAAGAAAACATTTGCTTTTACTTTATTGCCAGTGAAAATGTTTTCTTACCCGCCTTTTGGTAAATGCAAATGTAACTGATGATAATATGCCTTTTTGCCAGTCAGGCCTCTACTTGGATCTGAACACAAAGGAAAAGACAGGGAATGTAAAGTAAAAAGCTTAGCAGTCGATGAGAATGCGAGAAATATCAGTAGTGTGCTCTGTACGGCTGGCAACACAGGTGGCCTTGAAACCCGCCTGGCATATGGATCACACTAAATAAGCTATACAGACTCGCAAGGGATGTCAGAGATAACAGTTGCAGTTATAGATTCTGTGAACAAACTTTGCCTATTACTCAGAGTTCATACTTGCTGCATTTCAAAGCTGAGATTGCACATTTATTCTGAAAATTCAGCCATAGTAACTCCATTTCAATGCTCCTGGCTACCTGTGATTGGTAGATGGGTAGAACTGTGAAATAAGGAATTGCTCATGCAGCGGGTAGGTGGTGGGGATCCATGCAAAGGACTTAACAAATTAAATGTTGGAAACTAATTGCTTTATGGAGAAGTGTTCCCCCATATCTAATCTTCCATGGTGCTTTGTATTTTCTGTGATACTTCTTATTTCTTAATTACAGTTAATCATACTGAGAGAAGACTATGTACTTGGGGGTTATTCAATAAACACTTCTTTAATGAATGATATTAACTTCTTCACAGGAGAGTGTTTTTCTGTTTGGAGATGGAGTCTTTCTCTGTTGCCCACACTGGAGTGCAGTGGTGTGATCTTGGCTCACTGCCACCTCTGCCTCCTGGGTTCAAGTGATTCTCCTGCCTCAGCCTCCAAAGTAGCTGGGATTTCAGGCACTAGCCACCATGCCTGGCTAATGTTTGTATTTTTGCAGAGATGGGGTTTCACCATGTGGGCCAGGCTGGTCTCAAACTCCTGGCCTCCATAATCTACCCATCTCAGCCTCCCAAATAGCTGAGATTATAGGCATGAGCCACCGCGCCTAGCCAGGAAAGTGGTCCTGACTCTAAAAACCTGCCTTCTAATAGATAGAATTGATATGAACAAGCATCAGGAGATCTTGAAAGTGAGTCTTAAAACAGGCTACATGGCTGATGTTGTGGAAGATTCCTATCTTTTCCCTCAGGTATGAACAGTACCTGAAATTCTACTATTAGATGCCTCCTAATTTTCATATTCCAGAAACCCTTGTGGAAACACAGCCAGCTTGACCAAGTTGCTATGGGAACAGATTCATGAGATGGGAACAGATCTATGAGATACGGGCAGATGAGTAGAGGGAGGTCTCCACAATGGAAGAAAGGATTCCAAAATGGAAAGCAGCAGATAAATGACATCTTATTAACAGTTTTTCCCAGTGCCCTCCCAATACTATATTTGTTTGAACATGTATAAGCACTCGCCATGGAAAACATATTTCTTATTGGTCTGCTAGTTAAAACGTTTCAAACATACTTTAGATTTAATGGGTTACGGTGTAAAAACTGTACACATGAAATTCCTCCTATCTCATGGCTGACATG